GGTGTATGTGGCTGGCGCCTTAGCCACTTGAGCCACAGGTGCCAAGCCTTTATCATCATTAATATTATTTATTATTTTTATTTTTTAGACACATGTTCTCTCAGTGTTGCCCAGGTTGGAGTACAGTTGCTATTCACAGGTGTCATCATAGCTCACAGCAACCTCAAATTTCTGGATGCAAGTGATCCTTCTGCCTCAGCCTCCTGAGCAGCTGGGACTATAGGCGCCCACCACAAAACTTGGCTAGTTTTTTGGTTTTAGTAGAGATGGGGTCTTGCTCTTGCTTAGACTGGTCTTGAACTCCAGAGCTCAAGTGATCCACCTGCCTCAGCCTCCCAGAGTCCTGGTATTACAGGTGTGAGCCACCTTGCCCGGCCTCACCTCTGGTTTCTTGCTGAGGAAAGGAGAGGCTGAAGTGAAACACGGAGGCACTGAAGGTTGAGGGGACACAGGAGAAAATGAAGCAGAAAAGGAAGGTGCAGGTCCCTCTGAGTTCTCACAAGAGCTCTGTGAGGCGAGAGCGGAGTCACACAGGAGAGATGGGAGACTGCTTTGAGCACCTCTTGTAATTCCAGAAGTGAAACGTGACTTGTACCATGTTTTGTTGTGGGTGTACATTGAGTATTACAATTTGCAGTTTTTCCTTTCTTTCTGCGCCCCCTGTAGTTGATCCTTGAACAACATGGGGGTCAGGGCACTGATGTCCCCGCACAGTTGAAATATCTTTTGATTTTCCCAAAACTTTACTGACAGCCTACTGTTGACTGGAAGACTTCCCAGAACCCTCTCCTGTCTGTGTCTCTCTCCCCCTCCCACCTGTCACTCCCCCCACATTGTCAGTGGCATGTCAAGTTGGGACTAGAATCCGCCTTTCCTGCATCCCAGCCTGAGGTGGCTTTTGAAGACGCCATCACTTTCTAGCTTCACAATGACGTTGACTTCATGGTTTTCTGCTCTCCGGAGTGCAGACTTGAGGTGCAAACACAGTCATAGGAAACCAGGCTGCTTTTGACCCAGACAACGCTGCTCCTTGTTCTCATGTCTGCTGAGTGGTCTCTCTGCAGTGAATATAATACGGACAGCGTGAAGAGAAGCTGTTC